TTGTATTTTGAAATTATCTTGATTTATAGCTTTCTTTGTTCTAGGACTATTAAAAATTTATGAAACTGTTACCACATTGGCACACTGATTTGGGGGTGACTTTACTCTGTGTTCGCAAGCCATGGTCACTCATATTTAGTTCCAGAATAAACTATCTCTTATCCTTTTTGAGGTGAGACTTGTACTTTTGTGTAGACAATAGCAAGGCCCTGTCTCCAAAAGAAAAAAAATCAGTGAAGTATCACTATTCACCTACTAGAATTTCCAAAATTAAAGCAGCTACACCAATAACTGGCAAACACGAAAAATAGTGAAACTCTCATGCATGGCTTGTGAGAGTAAAATGCAACGGCCAGTTTGGCAAAGAGTTGGTAGTTCCATAAAAAGTTAAATTACCACGTGATCAAGCCACCCCACACCTAAGTAATTTACTAAAGATTAATGAAAACAAATGTCATATGGAAAGAGTTACACACATATGTTCCTAACAATGCAGATATTTTGTAACAGCTAAAATCTGAAAATAATCCAAGTATCCACCAATGGTGCATCTACACAATATGACACAACACAATTAAAAAGGAATGGATTGTTGCACTGCAATAATCTAATGAATCTTGAAGTAACTAGATTGAAAGAAGCCAGAAAACAAGCAGAACATGCTTAGGTATATAAAACTATAAAATGCCAACTAATCTATGGGTGACATACCGTTGTGGATCAAGTCTGGCTTATGAGAGGAGAGTGGTGGTGGTATGAGAATGAAAAAGTTACCATGGGACATGAGGAAATGTTTGGGTGTGATGGATACAGTCACTATCTTGACAGCAGGGATTATATCAAGGGGGTATGAGTGTGCAAAATGCTATCAAAATCTATTCTTTACATATGTACTTTGCATCAATTTTGCCTCAGTAAAGTTAGAAGGGAGTGAAGGAGAAGAATGGGGAGGAGAGGGAGCTGAAGAGGAGAAAGGGAGGAGGAGGAGGAGGAGGAGGAGGAGGAGGGGAGCTCTCTGGGTGAGAGGTGAAGGTAAATTGCTGGGAGGAGTGGGCTCAGTTTTTCCACTTTTCACTCTGAAAACCCCTGCCAAGAGGGGTCAAAAACATGGACTTCCTAGAAACATAGCCCAAACAGGAACCACTACCACCCTAGGTCAGACCTCCAGCAGTGCTCTCTACCCCAGCTTATAAACTTGAACATCTGAATTGTGTTCACCACTGTTCCAAACAATCCCTGTCTTCAAAGCCTTGGGAGAATTCCTATTGCCTTTGCCACTTCCCACCCTCAGGGAGGCCCTGTCCTGACTCAGCAGGGAGACAGAGCAGGAGCGCTGCAGCAAGAGAAATGTAAACAGGAGTCATCTGGGTCACCCACAGCCACCCTCTTCCCAACCACCACAAGGAACAATGGGCACAGGAAGCTGGGCTGTGGCTCTTGGGGAGTTATGCAAACCAAGCTGGCACCAAGTGCTGCTTTTGTTCAGAGATTTTTTTTTTTTTTTTCCAAGTCAACCCTCTTATAAACAATTCAGAGTGTTTTCACCCTTGGGAAAGCATGTGGCTGCTTTCCTGGTTTACCCCATTTCAATGAGTTCATTTTAGAGAGGCAGTTTCTGAGCCCATCCGCTAGGACAGGACCACCATGCCAGCAAGCGGTTAGCAACTTGCTCAATGAAAGCATGAATGGACTAAGGTCTCAATATACTGGAAAAAAAAAAAATACCCCAACTTAAAATAGTCTTCCAGAGCTCACTTTTAATAGAGTCCCTGTCCAATCAAGGACTTTCATAAATAACCCCCAAATTAATGACATGTATTTATCGGCAACGCCACTTACTTGAAATATACAGTGGTTGATGTTCTTTCTGGGTATAAAGTTTGTTTAAGAGAAAGAAAGCCTTGACCTAAGGATAAAAATAGAGCAAGGGACTCAAGTAAATTTGTCTCTGTTCTCCTCAGGAGCCTCTCGGGTTGAACCTATTTGGAGAGGAGTTCAGTCTCAGGTGATATGGAAATCTCTCTTAACAAGGAGTTTAGAGCTCCTTTGAAAACAAAATGAACTCTTTTTTTTCCTGTAATGTCACTTTGAGGAAATAATTTTAGCTCTCATAAGTGGACCCCCTTGTTGGATTTATTTTTGTGTGGATTTCTATCCAGAGCACTTCATGTAATGTATTACCTAGCCAGGTCAATATTTTGAAATAGTAAGTCAAATGTTGTTACACCCCTCCTTGAGACTTCTTAATGATTTCCCAACGCACTGTGAATGGAATCAAGATGCCTTGTGGAGCCCATCAGGACTCTTTGGGACCAGACCTGGTCTCTGCCTCTCTGGGTGCTGCTGTGTTCCAGGACATTCATTTTAGATCTTCACACATCCTGTGATCTTTTCTACCACCTGTCTCTCTTATCTCTGTTCTCACAAATAGCCCTTCTCGTCCCACAAGTCTGAATTAGAATGCAGTCCCCAAGGCTGTCTCCTTTCCACATCCTTGACATTCTGCTCGCACACATCTCATTGAACTTCAGCACTTTTTAATAGGCTCTTTCTCTCTTACTGTAGATAGTAAGTTCTATGCGCTCAGGAACCATGTTCATTTTATTCACTGTTTATCCCTAATGGCCATTTGTGCATCCCATATGTGCTGGCATATGGCTTATGCTCAGTAACTCATCATAGACCACAGAGTAGTTAATAAAGCACATTCATGTTCATTTCTACCCTACTTGTCCTCTGCCCCAAATTCCAAAGCCCATCAACACTTCACCTCTCACATCCTTGTTCTTCCCCATGCATAAAATCTATGTGCTTCTTCTTTTTCAGTGTTTAGACACAAGGCACATGGTACTGTAACTTAGTGGATGCTCTGTAAATGTAGCTAAAGTAGTAAGACCATAAATCATTTCTTCCAGTGTAGATCTACCGCCATGTTTCTCCTTGAGTCTTTGTCTTACCACCTCTGTGAATTTTCACCCATTCCCAATACCGTGATCTTTCAGTGTAATTTTTTTTTTTTTTACCGAACACTATGTCTTCCTTCATAAATGTATACATTTTAAAGGAAAATTTATAAAAAATTTTAAAAGCCCATCTGTGGTTCTTTGAATGAATTGTCACCCAAAGGCTCAAATAGTTGAACAATTGACACAAAGTCCCCCATTGGTGGCACTGTTTGGAGAGGTTGCAGTATCTCTAAAGGGTGCAACCTTGCTAGAGGAAGCATGTCACTAGGGGCAGGCTTGAGAATTCATAGCCTTACCCAACTTCCTCTCTCTCTCTCTCTCTCTCCTTCCTGTGCATGCTTGAAGATGTGAACTCTTAGCTTTCTGCTCTGGCTGCCTCCCTCCATGTCTCCTCACAATGATGAACTCTTGTCCCCCAAAACCACAAACCCAAATAACCTCTTCTTTTTATAAGTTACCTTGGTCATAGCATTTTATCACAGCAACAAAAAAGTAACTAATACACCATCTCAGCTATCATAAAAGGAGAAACTGTGATTGTTAACACAATGAAAATAAAGTCATGTGCTTCTATTTTTTAAAAAATTGGCAGTCATTAAAAATGTGGCAATATTAATTTTCAACACTAACATGGCAACTATGATTTTTCTCCATGATGAGATTAAATATTTAATGACTTCTTTGCACCATGCATCATTATTATTTAAAGTCCTAACTATGCACTTTTAGAGCATCCCACATCCCATCCAGGCTCTTCTGTCATATTGTACTATGAATAACACTCTTAACACCTTTCAGGTGGCACTTGTGACCTTGGTTGTCAACTTGACCCACCTGGGAAGAAGAAACCTCAGATGAGGAATTTCCTCCATCAGATTGGCCTGTGAGCATGTCTGTGGGACATTTTCTTGACTGTTAATTGAGGTAGGAGGGCCCAGCCCACTGAGCGCAGTCTCAGTCCTGGACCGGTGGTCCTGGGTTGTATAAGAAAGCTCACTGAGCATGAGTCAGAGAAAGCAGGCCAGTAAGCAGCATTCTTCCATGGTCTTTGCTTTAGTTTCTTCCTTGAGCTCCTTCCCTGGCTTCCCTCAGTGGTGAACTGGAACCTGTAAGCTAAAAGAAACCTTTCTTCTCAAGATACTTGTGGTCATGGTGTTTATCACAGTAACAGAAAAGTAAACTGGGACAGCATTTATTATTCTCCACATTGAGTGGGTGATTACATGTTTACACTGATAGTTCAACTTGGTGTCTCATTTCTTACATTCTCCATGGTTGTTAGGATGGTGGCTTGTATAAAATGTATGCTTGATACAGTTTTTTGAAATATTTTTTACTTATTATTTTTATTTTATATGTATGCATGATTTGCCTGTGTGTAGGTTTTTATTTCTTTTTTTTAATGGTACTTACTGAAAACTGAACACAGGGCCTGGTACATGTTCAACCAACTAAGCTATATCTTTAACCCCTGAATACAACTGAAGTTGAATTTACTATTTAGTTTTGACCCAACACGATCAAAAGAGACTAATCTTCCAAACTTCAAAATATTTTAAAGACTTAGGTTAGGAGAGGATAGCTCATCTCCCCCTGATTGCTTTTCCCTCTGCTTCTCTGATTGCCCACAGATAAATGCATACACATCATGTATTTAAATATCAAGGGCACAGTAAGAAAATGACTCAGTAGAAGAAATGTGCCCCTAGGGCTAGAGAGATGGCTCAGAGGTTAAGAGCACTGGCTGCTCTTGCAGATGACAAGAGTTCAATTCCCAGCACCCATCCATATGGCAGTTAACAACTGTCCATAACTCCAGTTCCAGGGGAATTTGACATTGTCTTCTTATCTCTGTGGGCACTGCATGACACAGGCACACTTACGTACATGCAGGCAATACACCTGTACACATAAAATAAAAAATAGTTAGGAAAATACTTTAATAAAACTAAAGAAATGTGTTCCGCATATGCATGCAGACACCTGAAGCTAACCCCCCTCGAATCCATAAGTGAAACAAAGGTCAAACAGAACTAGAGAAAAACTGAGTGTGTGATTTATTATATTTAAGATTGGTCTATAAGGCTTAAATACGTCTTTCATAGTTAACAGCAGATGAATGTAACTTTACAAAATCAGTATTTCGATATAGTACAGGACTAAATGTGGTGACTGTGCACTGGAAAATTAATATTTCCTCAGTGCAGATATCCAATCTGCAGCATTGTTTAGAAGCTGCCACCAGGAACTCAAGCTGCAGTATTTATTACAAGCTCTACTCGGAATACAATACTGTCTTAATCAAGCATTAGAGGAAAAACAGCGGCATCATTCGGGCTTAATACGGCAGATTTGGCACAGGATTAAAATACTAAGTGTCTTTTTTAATGTCCTGGTTTCAAATTAATAAATACAAACACAATATAAAAATATACACCAGTTGATAAGACTACACCGCACATGCTCAGAAAGTTAAATCTCGCTCTCATACGTATGCAGGTAAGTCTTGAGTGTCAGAATTTCCGGATAGCTACGACTGGTCTTCCGGAAGAAATCCAGAGCGGTGAGATGCTCGATGTCCCTGACCCGAGCTGTGTGCATCTTCATGAGCTCTTCTACCCATTTCGATTCATCCTCTGAGCTCTGCAAGGGAAATGAAGAAATCAGAATTTTCTAGAAGAGGTTCTCTAAATGGTCATTTTATACACTGCTGCACACCGTGCCAAAGCATGTTGTTCCTGCTTAACCTTCCCTTCTCTCTACAGAATTCCTGTCAGGAAGGCACCACAAATACCTGCCCCTTGGCTATAAACATTTTCAACAGTAATTAGCTGTACCAAGCAAATGAGACATGTGGTGTGTGAAGCCGCTGTTCTCAATAGGTTCTCAGAACATAAATCAAAATTAGGAAAACCACTGACCCTGCAGATGCGGGTCATTTGCTTCTCTTCTCGGTTGAACTCAGAGCACACTTAATTTGGAATGCTCTTCTGCTTCCCAAAATAAGCAAAGAGCTGGTGCCGAATACACAAAATTAAGTGTGCATTCCAAGGTTGCTCAGAAGAACCCATGGTGTCAACTACATCCTATTAGGTGGCAGTGAATTAATATCTCATAGTGAGTTTAGCTTAAAGCAGGTCAATTGATAACGTTTGGCACTTCGGGCTGCAGAAGTAGGAGTTAGGATTGTGGCTCCACCACCTCCTGGCTGCGGCATCTTGGTGAAGGTAAGTGGCCTCCCAAGGCCTCATTTCTTCACTGATTCACAAGGTCACTAAAGCTTACCTCAGCAGCTTGCTGGGAGGTAGAAAGAATTAAAAAGGAAAAGAAGAAAGGGAAAATGAGCTACAGAAATACCATGGCATGAAGGAAGGAAACCTCTAGCTGTTTATATAAAATGGCCTCCTTGGCACAAACTCCAGGTTGAAAATATTCAGATGTCCATCACCAAACAATTTGCTTCATGTCTTACTTGAAACTCAAAGGCAATTCAGATGAGGCAGTCCTTGCACCTCAAAAATATTTCATTTTGGGAGGAACACTGCGGGGCGCGATGGAGACTAAGATCTGAAAGTCCTATGAATTAAGAAGAGTTTTTCATTCGCAGCCAGGAGCAGCAGCGCCTTCACAAGAGATTGCATTCCCTAAGGCCCCTGAACTGAAGTGTCCAGCGAGAGACTTTAGGGACTTCTCATGAGTTCTGCACGGCTCAAGGCCGAGAATGCTCAGATCACCCTCACCCAACTCTTGACCACTACCACCTCATTGTACCAGCCACCAAAGCCCAAAACCTGCAAAGGTTTTCTCAGAAAGCTTCAATCCACACAGACCTGGACAAGAGGTGACAACATCTTGTGCCAGGTCTAAATATGTACCATGAGCTTGTTGGTTCAGGAAACCAATGCTTTGCCGTTCTAGTCAAAGTGAAGGCAAGGGAAGAAACAGCTTTGCAGGCTAGAAAAATGAGGATTCTGGCCCTCCATGCTCCACCCTCCTAAAACCTAACCAAGATCTCTGCAGCTCACAGTAAAATGAAACCTAAATTTAGCCCTATCCACAGTGTTGCTGACAAGTCCTCTGCAGGACCATATAATTAACAAAGTAGGAGGTCTCCTGATGGGTCAAGACCCCCTCAGAGCAAGCAGAGTAAGAGGTTATATTTGGGGAGCTTTTTTGTATTTGCTCATTTGTTGGCTTTTTCAATGGTCAGTGAGCCCAATTTTTCCTTTGTAAATGCAATTATTTGAATATGTGGACAGGGGTGAAAAGGTTTTTCCTAATTTAACATTATGGCAAACTGGAATTATAGGAATTCAAGAATGAAAAAAAATCTGTCTCTTGCTGCCTCTTTTCTTAAGGACTGAGTTGCCAATTTCATTAGAGGAATATTCTCTTCTGCTTCTCCCCTGCTAAAAACTTGTCTGCAATCTGTCTTATACAATACATGATATGCTACATGTGAAGAAAGTATCTTTTGCCTTGATTAGCTGACAATCCACAGAAGTTATTACTGATGCTGAATAAGTGCAAGATACAAAACTAATAAAATTCAGTTTTAAAAGTTCATATGCATCAAGGTAGGAAGAGAAACTAAAATTTTGCTCTGTGTCTATTTATTCTTCAACTATCTTTTCTCCGTGACTTTCTCCCAAGTACGACTATAGATTTGAGTCCAAACAGTTTTAAAGTATACTTTAAAAATGAAGACAAGTTTCTATATTGACAGAGGATTCTTAATCAAGAAGCATGATGACTATGAACTCTCTGAAAGGACTTCTACATTTTCTGCAGGTTGAAGAACCATTAGACAGAGGATAATACTGTACCTTGAGGGTACAATGGTATGGATTTCATTTTCCAGGTGAAAAGCCTGGGTTACCTAGAGAATTGTTTATGTGGTAGGATTAGAGGTGTTTTTAAATAAGTATTTGTATTGATTCTTTGAGAATTTTATCTAATGTGCTTATTCGCATTCACTCCCCCCAGCCTTTTAAACTGGCCATTACCAGATTCCCATAATGCCTAAAGAACATGAAGAACTGCGATGCATATAAATGTCTATGTAATCTTTCCTTTATCTTAAAAATTCAGGGCTAAGACTGGGACTTCTTGCTCATTTCCCAAGTTCTATGCTGGGTTTTTGTTTGGTTTGAGATAACTGCTGGGTGAGGGAGAGTTGATCTTCCTTAAGGGAGTGACACTAGATAGGCTAAACAGGCTCCAGAGGATGAATTCATACCAAGGGACATTTGGGGACACAAATTTGACTGCATAGGCCTTGACATATATAACAGAATGCACGAAATCTGGTGGAAGGCTGCAGATAGGGGAGGGGTTCTAAATACAATTAAGATGCATTATATAAAATGCACAATAAAAATATACATTAAAAATTAAGGGCAATTTTGAACTTCATTATGTGTTTGGTTTACCTCCTAGCAGGTTTTTAAACTGAAGCTTCACCAAAGGAAGCATAGTGGTGTTACACAGGGCCGTTCTATTCCCCTGGAGCGCCCTTAGCTACCCTTGAGGTAATGCACTAAAGTCAAGTTAGTAAACTGATGCCAGCTCACCTCTCATTTTCAGTTCCCTCACTTTTCCTCCTTTCTAACAAGTGTAGAGTACCGGTAATCCTTTGGCTACCATACTGCTGCCTTCCAGAAACCTTTTAAAGTTTCTAAGACCACACCCCAGGTCAAATTCTGTGACCGCAGGCCTATGAATCTTGCCAGTGCCCCTTGACCACCATGCTTAACCTCCTCCACCTCAATTTTATCTCCCTAAAGCAAAGCCTAAAATGTTGCTCTTCTGAGTAAACATTTTTTTCTTGATTATCTAATTCTTGCACAATAAGGAAAACTCCCAAAGTTCTATACAGATATCTGGTAAATAGCCATGGCATGCAAAGTTCTGCTATCCTGCTGACTAAGCAAGTCATCAGGAAACATGTTTTTCCTTTATTAAATATAGGTTTCTGAACAGTTAACAAAAAGGCAGGAGAAAGAAAAAGAGAAACCTTACAGGTTGATCAGATGACAGAAATAATATACATAGAGGAATGGTACAATACTTGGATTACAGCATATATTCAGTAAATGGTACCAATTACTACTATAGCTACCACAATTAGTGTTAATATTATTACTGCTACAGTTTTAAATTTTTATTTCAAGAAATTTTAAAAAATTTACTTATTTTTATTTTATATATGAGTGTTTTGCCTGTATGTATATAAGTACAATGCAATGCCAGCAGAGGTCAGAGGAGGGCATCCCCCTGGAACTGGAGTTACAGATAGTTGTTAGTCACCATGTGGATTCTGGGAACTGAGCCTGGGTCCTCTGCAAGAGCAGCCAGTTTTTCATCACCCCAAATCATTTATTTATTTATTTATTATTTACTTATTTACTTATTTACTTTTTTATTTTATTTTATGTGTATGAGTGTTACGCCTGCGTGTATGTAGGTGCACCTGTGTCATGCAATGCCCACAGAGGACAGAAGAGGGCATCAGATGCCCTCGAACTGCAATTACAGACAGTTGTTAGCAGGCATGTGGGTCCTGGGATTCGAGCTCAGGTCTTCTGCTAGAACATTCAGTGCTCTAAACTGCTGAGTCATCTCTCCAGGCCACCCCCAAGCAATTTTAGTAATCATTTGTCCATCACTTCTCAGACATTTGGCTAAGACCAAGGGTTGACTCTTACCTACGACTACCCTCAAATCCAGTTTTGTAGACAAATGTAACTAGTGTTGCACACCACAGCTCAAATTTCTAATTTTTTTCCTGAAATCTTTATTTTGCTTTGAGCAGTCATAGCCCAAATCCTTCATCCAGAATGAAGCCATTGTCCCATGGTCACACTGCCCATGAAGATGATGGTTTTGGTTGAAACAACTGTTTGCCTTTTAATGTAGCAGTTTCCATACCTTAAAAATGGTATAATATAGAATTTTCAGCCTCATATTGTAGGCTTCCAAGGAGTCATGGCTATGGCTGACACTGTCGTTTCTTATACACCTTATACAATTTGAGGATTTGAGTGCACTTTATTGACTAACAGTCATCTCCTATAGATTCCACCCCTGATTCTTCTATTAAGTGAAATAAAAGCATACCAACTATTACTTCTAAACTCAATCTTCCAGCAAGGAGTATCCACCACATCAACCATACTTGAAGAGATTACATTCTTTGTACCTCGGTACAAAATCAGTTTATACAGCATGGCTCCTATCTTCCTGCTGAGTGATTTTTCATTAGTACATCCAGCCTCCCAGTTGTCTCCACACGAGAATAAGTGATTCAGGGTCATCTATGCTGTAAGGTGACTTTTATACTTACCTATAAGTAGTAGCAAAAGATAACTTGACTAATAAGTAGCGTGTGTATGTGTTTAAAAAGGTTTTACTATGAATATTTTCAAAGATCCACAAAAATAGAGAGATTATACACAATAAATTCCTTTAAATTACTCCAATTATTATAATTTTACTATCCTTTTTTTCTTCGTTTTTTGTTTTGTTTTGTTTGAGTCAGGATCTCTCTATAGACCCAGCTGACCTGGAACCTGCTATGTAGAGCAGGCTGGCCTCAACCTCACAGAGATCTGCCCACCTCTACCTCCTGAGTGCTGGGGTTAAAGGCATGTAACACCATGTCTGGCCTAACTTTCGTGTGTGTGTGTGTGTGTGTGTGTGTGTGTGTGTGTGTGTGTGTCTCCTTCAACTCAAAAACACTTGGACACCTTATCATTTGCTAAAATTGAATACATAAATAGAACTGTGTTGCATGTACACACACACACACACACACACACACAGAGTAAAAAATAAAAATCTATTATTATAGAATACCAGGTCTCTGTATGTTAAATAAAGATCTATTTGGGTTTTTCTGCTTTCCGTTTGGATGAATGAGTCAATGTTTTATAACGCAAGTATTCTGGTTCAACGGTGGGAATATAGGTTAGAAAACAAGACTAAGTACAAAAGTGCATTGTGAAGGTCTCTGTCTCTGAACTTACATTACAGCTCTCATCATTGTCGGGTCGGTGAGGGAGGATGAAGGAAGACACAGAGAGGGGGCCATCACATTTGTCAGCAGGCTGGGTGAAGTCCAGGCAGCTGGTGATGATGCTGTAGTAGTGCGTGGGGACAGGAATAGAGCTTCCTTCCACATATCTAACCGGGAAAGTAAAGTCAGGTCACAAGACACATTAGAGCTTTCTTTTTAAAATGATCAGTCATCCATGACTATCATCGCAAATCAATTCCCAGCTGAGTCATTTTTAACCTCTCAGTGCTAGCCCACTTCTACATCTCTAAGCATGCTATTCTCTCTGCCTGGAATCCTCTCCCTCTCTCTACTTGGCAGAAAGAGAAAAATATACTAGCAAAAGAATATGGCTGGACTAAAGAGTTGGAGGTGGGAAATGGTGACTGGAATGATGTCTTAGAACAAAAGCTGAAAGAGTCAATAAAAGACAAATGATGGTGGGTTGTGAGCACCAGGATAGGGAGGTTACACGCTACTATCCTGGCAGGATGCTCCACTGAAGGTTTTTGTGATATGAAGCATCAGCATTAGATCTGTGTTTCAGGAAGATGACGTTTATAGCTGTTAGAAGTTGGACCAGTGTTATGAGATACTGAGTGTGGTGATTTGAATGAAATGTCCACTATAAGCTCCAAGTGTTTGGACATTTTTGTCCCCAGTTGGTAAAGCTGTATTGGGAGGTCTTAGAAGGTGTGGCCTTGCTGGAGGAAGCACATCACTGGGTGGGTAGACTTTGGGGATTCCTAAGCCTTGTCAGATTGCCAGTCGCTCTCTGCTTCCTATACCTGCTTGAAGATGTGGGTGCTCAGCTTTCTGCTTGTCGCCATGCCTCCCCACCATGATGGCCTCTTGCCCTTTTGGGACCGTAAGCTAAATAAATTCTTCATTCTGTAAGTTGTTTTGGTCAGTGTTTTTGTCACAGCAACAGAAAAGATACTAATACACTGGGCTTAGGAGAATCCATCTACACTGATACCCTGAACTTGGTACAAGCATTCATTTACCAGAGGAGGTACTGAGAAGAAAGGATGAGCCCAGTGCTATTTTAAAAGGACATCTCTAGTTGAGCAGTGCAGAAATTTACATGTCAAGATTATGACTGAACTAGTAACTTAATTTTGGCTAAAAAGTATCACAATGACTGACAGTAAATATCTAATTAAGATGAAATTTCTCTTTTGAACTACTGAGAAAGGCGTAAGATAACTTCTACACTATCAATGATCTATATTTTAAAATAGCATTTTATCTAAGTATTTATAGTATTTAAAGCCCCTCATACACTGTGTTGCTCTCTGATTGTTTCATGTACATATAAATGCACAGGACTGGGGACTGAAGAGACGGCTCAGTGGTTAAGAGCACTGGCTGCTCTTGCAGAGGACCCAGGCTCAATTCCCAGCACCCACATGGTGGCTGACAACCGTCCCAGTTCTAGGAGAATTGGATGCCCTCTGCTGACCCCCTCAGGCATTGCATGACATGGGTATACTCAAACACATAAAATAAAAATAATAAAATATATAATAAATAAATAAATGCACAGGACTATGCATTCCTTGCAAGCACAATGCCTTACTTATCTTTTTATATGCCCAGTAGCACCAGGGGGAGACCAACAATTGGATTCAGCCAAAGT